CATTAAGAATGCCTTAGGGAGTTCTTAATCCAAAGGGCTGCAGGAAATGACATGGCTGTTTCAATAAGCTAGTCTTTCAGAGAGGCTGCTCAGGAAAACATGCTTCTCTTTGTAGTAGGTTGCAAACAAATGGAGGAAGCTCTTTGGCAGCCACAGATACTTTCAGTCTTTAGCAGGAGGAAATAGGCTAGGCTATTCTTAATCTTCGATTGGCCTGAACTTTTGAGTGCTTTTGTAGAAGCTTACGCAGACAGCAGTGGGAAGTTCAATGGTCAGTGTCCTTTATCTGTGTACCAAGATCTGGGGGACAGGCCAAGAACACAGCCTGAAATACAGACAAGAAAAGAACAGTAGTATGTAGAATATGATTTAAGAGTTTAAATTGATAATTGAAGTATTTTTAAAATATTATTTATTTTTCTACCCCATTAAAATTTTTGCTTTTTCTGCCATCATGACCATTTTTATTACCTCACTGTTACAGATTGGGAATGTTCTGTCTTCCTCTGCAGAGAAGGGCTTTAGTATTATTCTTGAATGGCTTCTTTCCTCATACGACAGCATGGAGAAAGACACAGAATTGAACTGAAAGACCAGAGGGCCAACCACTCTCCAATCTGATGATTCAGAGCTTGTCTGTTTTCGATTGACACAGAACCAAAGGAACAGCCTGGTGCAGTTTTAGATGCTAGTGTTCTGTTCTAAATCGCTTTCAGGCTATTTGGGGTTCTTACTGTCTGAAAGATATGAAAGATACGGGTTGGTGTTGATCAAACACAGCATGCATAACTCAAAGTGGCAGGCAGGCATCATCTGAAAAAGATCACAAATCTTTTGTATGCATCTTTTTATATTCACATAAAATTGGTATAGAAACAAAAGCACTATTGATTTTTATTTTTGTTTTACTTTCCACCAAGTATTTTTTGGTTTTGCTTTTCTTCTTGCCTTTTCTTGAGCGTGGAACTGGTGATGATAAAATAGTCGTGTAGGTTGTACGCTGTTTCCTATCAGATATTGAATGGGAGGATCTCCTAGAAAAGAATCCAAGTGTACTTTGGTTTTTGTTGTGTTTTTGTTTGTTTTCTATCCTACTCTAGAGCTCTAGAACTCTACCTACTCTGGTAATTTCAAAAGCATTACTTTTCCTAGAAGTGAGTTATTCCATGACTGCTATGCATTCCATCTGCATGATGTAAAGCAGGAATTCATACATAATGCACTGCAAAGATTTCCTGGACACGCAGTTTTGTAACAATAAGCAGACTTAACCTCAACTTTCTGCCTAAGGTTTGACTTTTCTAGTTTCTGCTGCAGGACTGCTTCAGTTAGTAAGCATAAAACGCTCCTGCCTTGAGTTCCCTTACACTCCCCTTACATTCTGAAGTGGTTAGCCAAAATTCAGACCTACTGTTCTGATTGGGTTAAAGGAAGATCATAGATCTCTCTCAATACTATTTTAAAATGGCACTGTTCAAGTCAGGGAGAGGAGAAACCGTATTTAGACATACAGCAGCAGCGGTCAGAAAAACTACTGATCCACTGATTTGTATGTATGGTTTGACAGCTATCTGCAAAGAAAGTAACAGCAAAATCTTTACAAATGTGGTTGACCAGTAAGTAATCCAAACCAAATTTTTGGTTCATTTCAAAGCTGAAAAGATGCATTAGTCATTTCCAAATGCTAGAAAACCTATTTTATTATTGAGGGGGAAATAACGATTAGGTAGTTTTCGTCAACTGAGGAAACCTGCATGGAAATAACGTATTTCGGGGATCTTAAAAACTTTCTTGCAAATTGGTTTGCTGTTCATCGTATACCTAGTGTTTGGAGCTCTAAGCTTAAAGCATCTGTAACATTTGGGCATTTCTGTAAGTGTTTTACAGATGTCTGCAGAGCATGGTCACTAGCAGTCTCGCACATCGTAACCAATAAAAACCTTCACGTATTAGGCATGGTATGGTATCTAAATCACACATGTATTTGTGTGCTTTTATTCAGTCTTCTCTGGGATTACCCTGTGATTTGCGTGTTTGGAAGCAAAGGGTCTTTCTGAGTCAAGACATCTATCCAAAGTAGGGAAGAATTTACTGCAGTTAACTGTGGGCTTTCAAAGCAATGACTGCAGTCAAATTCTGGCCTAAGTAATTAACTTAACGATGGGAAAGAAAAGCAGCGTGTGGAAAATATAATTAATTGAAACATATAACATTCAGTTCACACACAATAAATTGGCAACTATGCCTGAGGTAACTGCCTTTTATTTTTAAGATAAAGTTGGAGTTTTTAAGAAGTAATTGAACATTTTCTTCTATTTTCACACAGTACCAGAAAATACATTACAGTTAAAATACCAGCAAAAATGAAATAAAATAATGGTTATTGTTGCTTTTGATTTATTTATATGTGGATGTGAGCACGATGAGGTGGCAGTGGTGAATTTCAGCAGTGGCAACGTGACAGTGTGTCTCCTCTGCTGGTGCAAATTTCTACAGGCACAGCATGCAGCTCTGGTTCATCACTGGTGCAAATGCACAGCTACTGATGGGGACCATATTAAAAAACAGTGTTTTGTAGAGTGTGATGTCAAATAGTGTTGTGGTGCACTTTGCATTTGTTGTAGTTTTCATGGACATAAATAGAGATACTTTTGGAGCAACCTACATAGAACAATCTAGAAGGACAAAGCAGAAACAACGAGAATAAATAACTGTAACAGCTAGATATCTGTTTGCTGAAGAGATTTAGGAATGTGATTCTCCTGACTCAGGAGATAACAGTTAAAATAGTTCTGAAATCCTCCTATTTAGAAGGGTTGAATTTTCCCAATTCTGACAGTTTACTGCAGCATTTTCTGGATAACAAGCATGACACCAGTTGTCAGATCTTCAAGAGAATGCATTCTACCACTTACTTGCATAGCGTGGCACTCTGAAAGGCACCAGTACAATGCCATGCTGCAAAACTCAACCTGCTGCAAAACAGCTCTGTTGTCATCTTTCTCAAGAAATTTGCAAGAGGAAAATGAAGATGATTTCCCACTGGGATTTGCTGCTGTGACCGACCATACAAATCACTAGACTTTTTAATTGCTATCCAGTCTTCTCAATGAATTAGAAATGCACTCTGTCAGTCATTGCTGTTGCTACCCAGCAAATGCGATTTCCCCTCTGCACAGGCAGGAGGGTGGGTTGTCTGCCACTTAAGTGCTTTGTTTTTCTTTCTTTCCCTTGCTTTTAAGTGATCTGTCTTTGCCCATAGTGGTGAGAAGGAAAAAGGAAGTCCAAATGTGTTCTGTCCTAAGCATGAGGGTGTGGATCTAGTCTATTTTGTATTTGTCTGAATAACAATGGAACCTAGCATTGCAGTGAGTTATTCTCAAAGTAAGTCTGATTAAGAGCTTTACTGCTGCTTAAAATGAAACAGCCTGAAGACTAGGAAATACAGTTCCTTGTATAATACTCCTGCTGTGACTAGTCTTTATATTGCTGTCTCCAGGGAATCTTGCATTTGCTGCAGGCTGAGCCTGGTAGGCAGCTTGCTGTTGAACTAAGTCCTTAAATAGGTAGCCAGTACTTACAATTTTTTTGCTGGTGAATTTCAAATGATGTTCTAGGAAGATCAAATTAACTAGCAAGGATCCTTTTAACAGGGTAAATTATTACATCAGCAAGTGGTGAACTCAATGAATGTGAGTAGATCTGGCTTGCATCAACAAAGAAGAGATGTTAACAGTGCTACCAGCTGATTCTAAATGCACATTGGTGTGAAAGGCTTTAGACAACACAACAGTTGGTCAGCAGCAGCACTTTAGCTTCTTTGCCTACAAAAGTTGCATTCAACTCTAAATATTTCAACTTTACAACAGCACTGCAAATGGTAACTGACTTTTTTCATTCTGCTGGACAGAAGCTCAAAGTGAGAAGAGCAGGATGTGTTGCATGTTATTACTAAGGTACAAGTGGTAGAAAGGGCTGTGAGTGTGTAAGACTTGTTTCTTAATGGCTATGTATTTTGTTCTGTCCTAGTGAAGGGGCCTGATCCTACATGAAACAGATCACAATGTTTAACAGCTCACAAATTCAAACACAGGTTTGCGTGTTTGGGAAATTTTAAAATATGTTCGTTGTTAAATGAGTACATCTTTCAGGGGATAAATATGTCGTTGCTTATTAGTCTAATAAGCATATGACTGCTGTGGTGGCGGAAGGAAGACTTTAATGCATTCCTAAACAGATTCTTTATTTTTAGATAGCTGAAGTCCTCGGTAAAACTGGGGCTGCTTAATATAGGAAATTACCTTAATTAGGTCACTTCCTGTTTGTGAGATTTTTCTTATTAACATGCTTTTCTGATCTCATTAAAAGTGGATGCAGAAGTCTGTAGAAATGCCATTTTGAGTGAGCATATGATTCTGGGATGGATTTTCAAAACTTACTTATCTTTTGAGCTAAGCCCAGCAGGGTCATTGGTCTTAAATTGATGTGAAGTGTTCCTGGAAGAAATGAATCACATCTCATGCTATTCACCCCAAACACAGAAGTAAATGCATGACAAAAAGCCTTTTTTAAAAAAAAAAAAAAAAAAAAAAAAAAACAAAAAAAAACCTTGACACTAAATAGGCCAAATGGTTCCATAGTATTTAGTGGTGCTTCATGAAATTTGAAGCTCAAGTCAGAATTCTTTTGTCTAGATGGCACTGCTCACATTTGACAGGACAATTTTCTTTCTTATTAGATTGTACACCTGAGTCAGGACACTTAAAATAATAAAATACTATAAAATGACAACACTTAAAATCTGCCCTCAACTTCTAATGCAATGTAGCAGGAAATAAAAATTACAAAATTACAAATTTGTTATATATATATATATATATATATATATATATATATAAAATATAAATTTTCTTGTATGTGTTTTGACTGGTAGAAATATAAAGGCAAGTACCTCTGTAGAAAATGACTAGGTGACAAACAGGTCTTTGGGCATTTTCCCATGTTTTTAATATGTCTATTTATTTGTAAAGTTTAGATTATTCAGACTATGCAGATCCTAAAAGACAGTCTTTTTTTTGTGACATTTCATGGTGTTTTGTCGTTTTTATACTGAAAATCTAGCCAGAAATGGGGTAACACTCTGAAGCTTTTCCTAACTTTTCTGAATGAACAGTGTTTAGATGTCATGGTAACAGGAGGAATTTGTTATGCCCATTCCCTTGAATATCTGCAGTTGTTGCTGCTGTAGCTGCTGCTATGCACAGTGATCATAACATTCATCTCAGCTGTAGCCCGAACACTAAAGTAGGGCTAAATGCTTCTATGCTTCCTCTGTTCCATTGGGATAGGCTTATCCTTCTATCTGAATACAGGCAAGTACATACATTAGCAAAGTGCCACCAAAGGTTATAATCAACTTTGTTAGTGTGCCAAACCTTTCTTGCTACTACCAACTATGACTACAAAATCCCTGCAAATAATATAGTAGGGAACTGGTCAAAAACCCACACAATCCAATGGGATACAAAATGTCCCACTTCTATGATTTTTTTTTTTTTCTTCAGAAGTTTCCCCTACAGTTTAGGAGAAATTATTAATCTCTTAGTGGAAGAGATGAGTTGTGCTCAAAGTGAGTTTCACCATACAAATAGGCCCTTCTGAACCAGGTGAAACTGGTCTTGAGTCAATCACGGTGCTTACTGCTCTTCCAACGGAGCCTGGGGTTCCTCTTTCAGTGGCAAAGCAACACACTCTTTCACTTCGGCGACCTGCTCAGCAGTACCATGAGTAGTGGCTTCATAAGGCTCACATGGGCAACAGCCAACTTCTCCCTTCCTGCTCTTTTGCAGAATAGTAGTGCGAAAGTCTAACGTTATCACTGCCAAGCGATACAGTTGTAGGATCACAACTAAGATATTCTTAGCTGTAAAAAACACCAGCATCTGGTTGAATATTCGAAAATGGCCCATCAGGATTGAACGCACAATGAAGAAGGGACCATCCTGTATGAACAAGCTCACCCCGATGTTCCACAGCTCTGCGCTATACCTGCACAGCAGCAGGCTAGGGATCTGCCTGCTCGATGCAGTTGGTTTGCAGCCAATATGCTGTACTGGAAATAAAACATACGTGTTAAAACAGCTCTCTTACAACTTAGCTAGGATTGAGCTAAAGGGAAGCTTTTAGGTAGCTTGGATTATAAGTGCATTCAAGTGTGAACAATTCAATGTAAAGCATATCCCATTTCTGGGATCTTAAGTTAAGCAGGCATTTACATAATCTGTCAAAAAGAACCAAAACCCATTTCCCCTTTTCTGTCCCACAAAGCTATCAGTATCAAAACTAGAAGTTCACTTAATTTTTCTACAACAACTTTCCCAGATACTTTTCTGTTAAATCAATGTGCTAAGCTAACATGAATTGTTAAGAAAGAAAAAACACCTTGAATGGGAACACTTCAGCTGGTTCCAAGCTAAGACCTTGCTTGTAAGAGATTCAGTTGCAGACTGTTGCCTTTTCCTTGTGTTATAATAAGTTTATGTCATGTTTGGTGAGAGGCAGTATCAAGCATTATTGTCAGGAAGAAGCCGTAGTCCCTGCTTGCCTTGTAAGACTTAAACTCTCAGCCTTCTGGACAGCAAATTGCATGCAACTGCTGGAACCTGTGTGGATGCACAGGTCTTTATCTACAGAAGCAGTGGTGGGCTGGAATGCTTTTGGTGGCACCTAGAGAAGGGTCATCAGACAGCTTTGTGTGTGGTAGGTATGGCTGCATGTTATGAAAATTCATGAAGCTAAACTAATCTATTTCTCTGATGATGGGATTACATTAGTATAAAACCAGTAGTTACTGTGATGTGGTACCAATCACCAAGTAGCACAGCTTACCACAATAACTCAATTGTTTGAGGTAGCATGGGGAAAAGGAAAAAAAGATGAGACTTAAGAGCGGAGAATGAGCTGTAGAAGGGGAAACACTTGTTCTGAACCCAGTAGGCAAAGCTTCACCAGCAGCAGGTAATTTTTAATAGCTCATGCGTTCTTAATAGTCTTAACTTCATTGCTGTAGTTTTATATAGCATCAATGAATTGCTTTTTTAGGTCACAGTTACATGCAAGTAAACAGTCTGATGTCTGAATGAAAAGTAGTATTTGTGCAGCTGTATAGTTAACTAAAATAAACTGCACCCATAGTCAACATGTTAAGAATTAAGTTATTGAGCACCGGTTAAATGTAACTATAGCAGAAAAATAGGCGGAAAAGCAACAGCCAGAGGAAAAAAAAAGCACAACACACATCTTGCTTTACTTAAATTAATGCAGGGTTTCTTTAAGTAACATTTGAATTTATTTGGGTATGTGTAGTGGGTTGTTTTTTTTTTTTTTTAAACTTTGTGCATCTTTAAGAGAATATATGTTACAGTAACAAAAAAATTTATCTGTGATAAATTGCAACATTATTTTTTCAGAAGGTGATAGGTGAGCTGAAGTACTGAAATATTTTCCTACCTTCAAAATTGAAATCAAAGCCTAGTGCTGTCCACAAAAAGAGAGCTAATGAAAAATTTCAGGAATCATTTTTCATTATTAATTTATTCGTTCATTACTTTAGGTGTGTCAACCTAGTAGTCATCAGTGTTATAGAAGATGGTGGTGTGGGTAACTTATCTTCAGACTGATACAGTTTACTTGCAAACTTGTTGATATTGGAGGCCAAAAGGGTTGAAATAAATAGATTTTTATTATCTCCTTTGACCTAAGGAAGCCTTTCTGCCTGCAGGCAAATACTAGCCCAAGTTAGCTGAATGTTGGGCCTTTTAGTTTAGAATAAGAATATACAGTCCCAACACAGCACGATCTTGCAAGTTCCCTGTAATCAGGTAGCGTGTCCAGTGGTAACCCCTTGAGAGCCTGCGGCATCTATGCGTAGGCTGTGTTGTTCCCTGTGGCTGATATTTCCCTATTTCTCTGTGGGATCCAGTAGTCTCCCCACATTGGAATCATGATAGATTCCATGGCCAGATCTAACCCAGGAGCTAACAGAATGAAATTTACGGCAGTAACAGGCAACTAGAGCAACGCTTCAGTACTGCAGTTGCACTTTTTCTGGAAGCAGTATTTTATCCGGAAGACAGAAGTTAGCCAGAAACAAATGCTTCTTCGAAAGAGACCACAATAGGTCTTCAGAAAGTGTCACTATCTTTGTCATATGAATTGCTCTTCAGCAGAAGCCCTGGATATAGCCTGTAGCCTGTGCACAATCACAAGACATGCCAGCAAAACCTTAAAGCACATGTTCTTATTTCTTGTCTGTGTGTAAGTACTAACCTGCAAGATCAAGTGGAAACTGTAACATACTCCAGGTCCATACAGCGAGAATTGCATTTATGAGAATATAATTCTTCCTATGGGAGGAGAAAAAGTAGTAACAGTGAAAAAGCAGTTTCCTTTTGTGTTAACAAAAATGTTTTCTGTAGTATTTAGAATGTCATTTAAAGGGAGGTTGAGCTAAACAGTGATTAATGCATGTTTCCAAGTGATACTAGTAATACTGAGGAAAACAGGCACTTTTTGGTGTGGAATTTTTGCTGCTTAGTTCACATGTACCAGCTGTGCAATTACACTAAATTCCTGATGCTGATGTTATAAGTATATGGAAATATCTCTACTTTGAGCTACAGTGTCTATCTTTACCCTTAATACCATATGTAATGATTACATATTCCCTGCAAGCCTGAAGCTTCTCTTCCTAGTCGGAAGGACTTCTTTCCCTCCTATAAAGCCTTTTCTGCGATACTGAAACATAAAATAAAAAAAAGAATAGGGTCTGCAGGAGAACCTTTTCTGTGATTCTTTCTCCTTGTGATAGGTGTTCACAATTCAGCTCTCACTGCTGTGAGAGGGAGGTGGGCTTACATTCTCTGGGAGAGAGTGCAATGTTGAAAATTCACAGCAGAACTAGGCTGTTCCCTTTCTTCTTACTTTTGAACACTGTTGTTCTATTGTGAAGAAGAAACTACAAATGAAGTAACCAAAGAATCAACTTGGATAATGAGTCACTAAAGCAAACCTGAGTTACTTCCATGTCAGGCTAAAACAATTCATTAACTTGAGAAGTTCTGTACGTAGCCAGAGTTTCAGCTGCTGTAGCTTTCCGACCTGATGCCACATGGCAGTTATGCTAGTTGTTTGGCTTTTTGTACCCTTTTGTTGTGATGAATGTGATGTGTTTCTCTGCTAGCAATGGATGAATAATATCTAACAAAGCTCATCAGACTGCTAAGTCTTTTACAGCAGAAAGAAGACAGTAGGAAAGCAGAGCCCTTGATTGTAGCCTTCTGTTATCGGAGGGAATACAGTTTTAGTGGTCTGGATGCCACAGACAGCAAAAACAAAGCTTCAAACTGAACAAATCTCTTTTGTAATGTGCAAATTATTTATGTCAGCAAATATTCCTTACCGCACATCCTCAATGTCCAGGGTTTCACTAGCAAATTCAAGTATATCTGCTGCTGTTCCTACAAACATGAGAAGCAGCTGGGACAACTGGTCCCTGGTGATTTCAACCCCAATGGGGAGAAGCCATCTCCCAACTACTAGAAGTAGTAGAAAGGTCTGGTGGAGAGCCAGGGTCCATACAGTCTCACAGATTGTGGAGAGCTGATTCACAAAGACTTTAGCCTGTTTAAAACACAACAATAGTAACATGCTGTAACTTCAGGAGACTTAGCTTAAAGATGGCATTAATCCTTCAGCCCACCTTTGATCTCCTTCACGTAGCATTAGAGGAAATAATTTCTATGTGGTGGGCATAATTTGAAAAAGGCATGTTAATGACATTTTTGGATAACGAGTACTAATTCTTTCTCCATACTTTCTTTTTCCTATTGTCATTTTTTAGCTATTATTATTTGCAGAATTGTCATCCAGACATAATAAATTCAGTTAGATTTTGAGGAGAACAGTATGAGACTTCCTACCAACAAGTGTTAGTACTTGGTGACATGTTGGCCACTTTTACCATATGGCTTTATGTAAGCCACGTTTTCTTTTGGTCACTATTTAAGGAGATTTCCCGTATAGATATGACAGTCCTCTCCAATTGCTTTTTCCCAACATTTCACAAGTTCACTGATAGGAACAGGAAAAGGTGTCCCACCTACCGTCCGAATGATGTGGTGATCTATTCTCTCGCTTCCCTCACTGATCTCTGGAGACTGACTGATATCTTGATTGGTGACATTCAACTGAACAGCTTCAGGCTCATTACTGCAATACTGTTGTGAACAAAACCATTACATAAGCATTAACATCGTGCACAGGCAGCAGATGTGTTCTATGGCTGAAAGAGGCCTGCAGTCTTGATGTGAGATGTGTCGGTAGGCCTTGGGGAAGCTGCAGGATTGTTCTGCAGAAGCAGATGTAAATTCAAAGGCTGATGGAGCAGGTCATACCGTTTCCTGCTAAAACTGCACTCTGCAGCTCTCTTCAACGGGCTGCCGGGTTTCCTACATTGTCTCTTTCTGCCTAGAATGGTACAGTAGGTAGAACTCGCTCAGTCTGCTATCTCATGCTTATGATCAGAGGCTCTGTATCCAAACTTGTTTTCCAAGTATCTGTTTTAAGCTTCTACTGTCCAAAATAAGTTCTCTAAAAATGCAATTGTTTTCTTCTGTGATTTCCCTCAAGGCTGCAATGAATGGAGCTGAGCTGTGGGGGCATTTGGGTTGTATTTTCCCTCTTCCTTTCCCTGCCTTTGCCTATTTTGCAGGAAGTTCATAATGTAAGAGATGAGATTCAGGAATAACTAGAAGAAATGAGTCTGTGATGTTGCCTGCCCCTGCAGAGTACAAAAATTGATGCTTTAGTTTTTGTAGGCGTTGGATCCTGTGGGAAAGTAAATGTTGGCTAAAGCACACTGCTGGGTGCAGCGCAGTGACTCAGCAGTGGGAAGTGCATTGCTTTCTGCCTTTGTCCAGCAGAAGCTCTTGGGGTAGCTGGGGCCTGGCTCCTAACATCTGTCTTCATAACAGCCTTTAGCATTTCACTGTAATAAAAAAGGAGTAATTAGAAAATCAAACCAGGCTGTCATGAAAGACTTCTATCCCCCTTTACTTGTGCCAGAGAGCACCAAACAACTCCACTGGGCCCCCCACCATTTTATTGCACAAGGAGTGATTTTCTGCAACAATTGGAATGTTTGCGTGCATACTAAGCAGCTCTATTCAGCATAATGCCTGCCAATAGATGGGCAACATTTTGCAGCAAATGTCAGAGCCTAAAAAACTTCAGATCCCCTTTTACTTTGTCTCTGATGATACTGCTCATATCTGAGCAAGTGCTGCTTCTTGCCTGACATTGCAGATAAATGGAGCAACTTCCTGTGGCCTGAAAAATCTGGAAAAAAGTCAATGCCTGTTCTTTTGGAATTGGTGATAACAGCTCTGAAACTGAATGCATGGCTTATTGCACAATGGGTGTGACAGCACTGAAAGATTGTCACCAAGATGTTGGGGAAATATTTCCATTTGGGGAAGGGAGGTCTTGAAATTCTGGCCGTGGACACAGGGACAGACAGGATCTGGGGTTCTGCCTATCTGCTGCCTTTTGGGGCTTATCTCCCAGGTTGTCCCTACAGGTTGCTCCTGCACAGCCTGCTGTGGGCTTGTTTTGTTATCTAGCTGCGCATAGGCATAGAGAATGGTTAAAAAAATAAGTTGACTTTATTTATGTCTTTCATAGGCTCCTAATATGCAATTTTTGAAACCATTCCTGACTTGATGGGGGATGCATGGCTCCAAGAACGTTGACCAAACAGTGTTCCTTAGAGCCAGATCTGAACTGCTCTGCCTGCAGGCTGGAAATGGAGAACTGCATCTGCAGAGTCAGGTATTTAAATCAACCTCTAATTTTAATTTCAGTAGGTTCCTCTCTTCTTTTGAATTGTTCCTCTGAATATTTATTAAGTGGTGATTGTGGTGGTGATTCACTTGAAAGTTAGGAAAAGAACCTTTATTTTACATCATGTATATGCATGTAAATAGGCCTGTTGGTGCCAGGCATATCTGCCTAGCTAATTATGTATGCACAGTGACTTAATGGGAATGTGACAAGGAAGAAGCCAGTACTAAGCTTCATAGGCAGATGAACATGGTTTACCTTCTTAGTTCTACAGCCTTGTTACTCATAGGTGTCCGGATGTGCATGTAGCTGAACAAAAGTGCTTAATGTTTATTGTGCAAAAATAGAACAGGAAGAAATTGTACACATCTTACAGAAATTCTAGTAGGTTTACTTCTTTTGTTTCTTATGAAATGAAGCTGATATTCCTCTGATCTATAAAACATCATCAAAGTGGAAACTGTTTTGCATGACATATTTTCTCAGTGCCCAGCTTGCAAAGATCTTGCTTGGGGTGCAGGGGGACCCCCTGAAATACTGAACTAATCCAGCAATTTTCTATTTGCTTCTTATTCAGTGCCAGATAGAAATGAGGTCAGCTAAAACTTTTTGCAGCAGACCCAGCACTGAGGTGATAAAATTGCTGCTGGAATAGCAGGGTAGAGTGCCCTCAGCCCCGTTACCATGTGGAAGCTGACAGCCCCTGCTAAGCAACAGGTACCCCTCGCTCTGCATCGCTGGAAGCAGTGTGGCCGTCACTATGGCAACACACACGATGTCAAATTCAGTATTGTGACTTTGCTTAATTTTGCTTCGACTAGAAAGCTGAAATGTAACATAGGGAGAAAAGATTGCTTAAGCTGTCTTTCCAATTGAGGAAGACAACGAGTGTGGGAAGGGAGAAATGATGCATAGTATCTCTTTTGGAAGAGTGATACAGTGGAATTTTAGCTGGTAAGAGAATCCCATGTTTGAATGAGGCTGAGGGAATGGACAGGAAAATTGGTTATTTCCTTAGTGGTTAAATGTATTTAAAGGTTTACCAAGTATCCATCTTACTTTTGAGCAGGACACTTGCGTGAATACTGTCCTGGCAGTCAGGTAACCTCTGCTAAAGATGGTCAGCTGTTTCACTGTGGTAGTAATATACAAGGTATTTGAAAAGCTAAGAGGCATTTGTTCATCTGAAGTCTTATGCATTTGAGGAATTATTATTGTTTCTTAATGGAATAAATGGTTTTAATTTTCTTGCTGCTCTGTTTTGCTGACAGCAATTTCTTTCGCTCAGTATGATTTAATTTATTTTATGGAGTCTCCCAAAGATGCATTTCATCCCCAAATGCTTCACTGCGAAGCAGTACTTTTTATGCAGTCCGTATTCCACTTTGAATGGCACTACTTCTGTCCAGTACTCGGAGGCAGAATTGTCTCAGTCTTCAGGAGAAACTGTGCATTAGCACATGCCTGAAGTAACAGCACCAGCACAAGCGGTTGATGTTTCTGCTTAGGTTTTCAACAAGAGATCAAAGTTCTGTTGCCTCAAAGACCACAAACTGTTCTGATAGTGTGTGTACAAAAAGTATGGAGCCATTCTGGTATTATTTTCATAAGGAACACTTCAGCACAACTTTCACCAAAAGATATAATACATTATCTGGGTGCTGTTTGATATTGTTACAAGGGCTGCTCCTTGTCTAGAAGTGCTGCTTTCGAATCTGTCTGATGGTGCATTTCTAGAACTCTCTATCCTATTTTTCCAGGTATAAACTAAGCTGTTAACTTGATATACTCCCTCTTTAATTCATAGTAACAGTATATCAATAAGAACAAAATATGCCATGTTCTAACATCATTTTGGGAAATAAACTGCTGCCTCTGACTACAGAATTAGCCTGTTTTGTGGACCAGATTTAACTATGACAAATGTTCTCAATATCCATGTTACCTGTCTGTGACTGTTTAAGGAGATTTGGCAAAACAAGATGACAATAAATTCCTGCTGCTGTATTTAGAAAAAGCCTCAGGCATTTTCAGTGTAAACACAATTTTGAATATTTGATTACACTTCTGGGGGCTGTAACAATATTTCAAAAGAGAAAATAAGGGACTGTGTCTCCTTAGTCTAATTAATGTATCATCTTCTATCACTTTCTCTTTCGCTCCTACCAGGTCATTTTCTGCTAAGGTTGTATAAAAATCCTGGGGCATGCAAAAATCCCCTTTTACACTGCATGGAAGGAAGTTCTATGGGGACTTGCAAGCAGCTGGCATGGGGGAAGGACTCACTTGCTCGGCATGGGCTGTTGACTTTGTCTTCATCCTAACTGGTGACCTCAGTTGCCAGAGGAATCACTGCCTTTAAAATTGCTGCCACACATTTGGATCCTGAAGTGGAATCCAGACTCCCCTTCCCAGATCATTGTATAGCACAGAGAAATTAGCACAACAGCTAATCTGTGGTGGGAATCTGTGAATATTCTTCTAGTTTGCAGTATACATGAGGTAATTTAAGAGCCTTTTAATTAATAGTTACCGCAATTTTGGCTTGCTTGGAGTTTGCCTGTAAATGCATAAAACTCTTATTTTATTTTACAAAGGCCTCTAAAGCAATGAAATTCTTTTACCATCCTGAGCAAGATTCAAGCTGATAACCTGGGGCTGAAATGCTGTATTTCATACTTCTAGTCTTCAGTTTCTCAGCCAAATACAAATAGTCTCAATTTAGCTAGGAAAGAGATTCATTACTTGATATTAGGAAATGCACAGTTGTCCATAGTCCCAGCCAATCTGGGAGGCCTACCAGCATAAAATGGAAAATTGGATCAAGGTCTGGCATTTATACCTAAATCCAAACCATCAGATAATCAATTTCAAGCCAGTCCATCATGTTGCATAATAAATACCTGTGTCCCATGGTGAATTTCCAGTAGCCATAATGATGGTACTATGCAAATCAGATACAAAAAGATTGCTGGAGAAAACCTGCAAAGGAAAAGATAGCTTGGTATTATATCACATTGTAAATATCTTGTATTCTCCATTATTATCTCAGTTGGACCTGGAGAATTCTACTTACATTACAGTTCACATTGGGCTATAACTGCAAATAAGAGTTGCAATTCTTGCTGAATTCTCACACTGTCAATGTTATGAATTATACTTTTTTTTTTTTTTTGTAAGCCTAAGATCATATATAGTTTATTTAAAATCTCTTCTCAAAAACTACCCAAGTATTTTAGCTGTTTGTATTTCCATCATGTATTTCCATCCATTCTCAGCATTTAAAACAAACTAACAACAAAAAAAGTCTAACTGATGTGATCTTTTAGATTTGAGGAAGGATGAATCATAGAATCACTTGAGTTGGAAGGGACCTATAAGGGTCATCTGCTCCAAATCCCCTACAATGAGCAGGGATGTCTACATCTAGAGTTGTTCCTCTGGATAGTGCTGGGATGGAGGCTCTTGATTAGGATCCTGGTGACACAGAAAAGTTGGAAACAACTTTGCTGAAGACATTTCTTTAGTTAGATTTTTTCAGCGCAGACTAAAATGATTTATGAAAATGGGCCTTGCCCTTCTTCCCCCACTTGTGCTGGCAACTGTCTAATCTTTTTAGGATTTCTTTCTCCAGTTCCTTTTTCTTGTTACTCTCTTCTATAACTTGTGATGGTGAAGCTTTATCATCTAAATAATAAATAATAAATAAACTGAGTTTATTCAGGCATGAGGGTGGTGAGACACTGGAACAGGTTGCCCAGTGAGGTTGTGAATGCCCCCTTCCTTGGAGGCACTTAAGGCCAGGCTGGATAGGACTGCAAACAACCTATTCTAGTGGGAGGTGTTCCTGCATATAGCACGGGGTTGGAACTAGATGATCTTAAAGGTCCCTTCCAACCCAAGCCATTCTATGATTGTATGTTTTCCTATGAAACGTATGACATTATTTTTTCATTTTGCAATTCTTATCATTTTGGATTACAAATGAGGCTGTCCAATGCCAGCCCTGCCATAGTATGGAGTGAGCATCACAGCGATGCTTCCGAGAGTGACAGCAGCCTCTGCACCACATGGACATCTCAGGCAGAACAGTGAGGACAGCTTCAGGACACTTGTTTGGTTCCATCTGTCTTGTCAGCAGCACACATGGCAGTGAACTTAAATTGCTTATAATTGTGTTTTGGTCAAATTAGTTGGATGTATTATTAGCTCACATCTGGAATGTACCTTTATTTCTGTAATAATGACTTTTTCAGAGGAGATTGTTTTGAGGAAGAAAAACAACCAAAAATCCAGCTGCTTAGGAAAATCACTTGTTTGCTGAACTGCTCCGAAAAGTTTCAGTTAATCCCTCTATATAAGGTGGTCTTGAGCTGTTATGTGTTGTTTGCTTTTTATAGTTGGTTTGTATTTCCTTTTTTACATTTTGGTTGTTCTTGGGTTAGAAGGTGTGCTTGAGTGTTTGTTTGTTTTCCTCTTCCTGAAGTTAGTGATTCTGTGGGGTTTTAGCCTAGTTATTTTGGGAGAGAACACACTTCTCAATTGAATGGGAGGACTATTTTATTTTACTATTTCCTATAGGACTTGAGCACATGAGAAATCCATCCAGCTGGCAAGTTAGCAGTGCTGAGCTAATGATAGCAGATCTGGCCAGGAAAGTTCAGGAGCTTTAACCCTGCCTTTCTTTCAGAAGGAACACTGTAGAGCAAATATTACTTGGCCAGGCACACAATATTACTCTCTCCAAACGCTCTATTTAATTATTTCTGCTGATGTAATAAGCAACTGTCTTTTCTCAATAGTGTATGGAGAGCATGAGAGGCTTGTGAAGGCAGGGGAGTTCTGTGGTAGAGACTGTCCTTTGCTTGCATTAGTAGACAAACATGGAGGCATTTCTATAAATGCAGCTGATGTTTTTGGTTCTGAGTGCGGGTGTCTGCAGAGCAAGAAAGTTATCCTGTTGTGATTAGATGCTGCTCATTTGTCTGCAGTTCTCACCTACAACATCATTTATTATGCTTCGTAAAGTGCTGGACTATGTCCATTTTCCTTCTAGCCAAATTTAGCCCAGACTTCTAGCACACGTTCATTGAAAAGAATCTGCTTTCTGTATGGTTGTTTTTTTTTTTTTTGGTTGTCCAAAAATGGGTTTAGTGAGTGTGCCTTCAAGAAGTCTGCTGCCTCTTCCTCACCCCAGTGAACGGGGTCTGTTCACTCTGCCTGTGATTTACACATGTGCTCTGCTGTTAAATTTTCCTGTATTCCAGAAAGAATCGCTACTTTTATTACATTTAAATTTAGATATAGAACACTTTTGAGAATTGTCATACAACATCACTTCTGTTATAATGCGTTTCACAGGCTGCAATAGACAGAAATATAAGGTCATGGAAGGTTTTTTTTTTTTTTTTTTAACCTTGAATTTGTCCCAGGGACACTGGGATAAAAGACCTGCAGTTTGAGATTTTTACAAAGAAAAGGTCCTAATGAAACCTGGACAATTAGTTACGTGCCCACTTCCCTTTCACCAACCATTTGTGTTTGGCTGACTGACTGTGCTGATGAGCTGTAGATGTCTGCAGTCATTCCTTACATACGTGTAAAAACCCAAGAGCTTGGGCAAATTCTGCTATGACTAACTTATTTTGCTCATTTCCCAGGCAGTCTTTCCTGCATGAAGGCTTCCCTCTGGAATAGCCTCTTACATGCAAATCCAAACACTTAAACGACTCTTACTGTAAGAGTTCTTGCTGCTCATCTTTTATTTGATGCTGAGCTTTTGTTCATGCACTAGCATGGAAATAGCACTGTTGTGGATAGCAGTCCCAGGGAATGCAGTCCCAGGGAATGAGATGCCTGCCAGCAAATGGCTGGCTGGGTGAGAGGTGTGGGGCCCCTGGCATCTATCTCACTGCCTGTGCTCCTGACTGGCTGTGGCATTGTGGTGCCCAGTGACCCTGCCAGAGAATGCGTGCCCCCATTTCCCCTGCACCCTGGATTGGCAGCTCCAGAACACAAAGCTTTTGGCTGCAGCAAAGTTCCTTCTTCTTTCAGCTGTTGGTGCACACTCACTATTGTACAAAGAGTGGTTCCCAACTCGTCTATTGCAAAGGTGCCCCTCCTGAAAGCCCTCTGGGTTTGGCCACAGGCTAGCCTGAACTTCACCACTTTTTTACCACCCCAGGTTCAGCAGCAGGGAGACTGCAGCTCCCTGAAACTGTGGCAGAAAGGAAGCCAGGGCAGCTCCGCTCACAGGCAGCAGCCCCTCATCTGCAGCAGAGTACATGCAAAGAAGCAAGAGGGGCTCCGTCGGAGCCAGCAGGATATGCTCACCATTTGTAGCCTCTGCCTTGCTTAAACTTGAGCGTGAGCCCTGTCTCCAGGCAAAGCAGAAGATTGAGCAGTGCCAGCAGCCAGTACTTGGGTTCTTTCTTCACTTCAGTCACTCTCCAGACCCCGATGAGGGAGTGCAACACGAACAGCAGGCGAGTAACAAGAGCGTTGAGCAGAACCATCAGCTCCATCCCGGCCCAGTCCCTCTCCACTCTCCCCACACGGAGGCCCAGTGCCTGTTAGGAGCACAGAGAAGCTGCCCTGGGAATCACGGCAAAGCCTGCACAACGCAGGCACGCAGCTCTTTCCTCTCCCATCTCCACAAAGGGGCCCATTATAACAAAAAAGAAACGGTATTGCCCCTCCCCCAGACTTCCTGAAAACTTTTTGGAGAGAAGAAAAAAAAAAGAAGCTCATGCTTCCAAGCTGTGGTGCTTTGCAGTGCTCTGTGCAGCTCTGACCACACTGAGCAGGAAAGGCTTCTGCATGTCCCCTCTCTATCATCTCAGGGACTGAAGGCCAGGGAAACTGCAGTCTCGCCCAGTTCCCATTTCCTTCCCAGCTCTGTTCTTATTTTCTATATTTCCAGCAAAGAGACAAAACGTAAGAAACACTATTAATGTGAATCTTCCTTGCTAAAACTTCCACTGCATTGCTGATGCTGCAAAAACCTCCTTACTCTCCCCTCCCCACAAAAGCTTTACTTCATATTTGGAAACTTTTGAAATTGTTCATTTAACAGTGCAATACAGAAAGCAGAGGCTATGTATTTCAGTATTGGAATCCCTGTGTGCAGACACATGGGTGTGGAGATTAGTGTTGAACCAATTGATTGATTAAATTTCAGCACTGCTTAGCTTTTTTAACTTGCATTGGCTTTAATTTAACTAATGTATTGAATAATCTTCAACCTGCTTCAGGATGAAGAAGCAGCCCAAGTGTGAGGAATTCCATAAATCAGACTGAAATCTGGGCTAACACCAGTGTTACCCAATAAGCCAATAGAGTCAGACACAAAAGGCACATTTGAGTTTGACTGTTAAGTCAGATACCTCTGGAATGAGCTTTAGTACCTTCTGGAGCAACGGTTTGTAACTTACAGAGTACAGTAAGAGTTGCCTCGACATTTCTTATGGTAGTTACATTTTTATTTGAATTTACACTTCTGAAACTGAAATGTCACCTGGATGAGAATTGTTACCTGCTCCGTTTTTGTGTATGTTTCCTGCCAAAGCACTGAAGTTGAGATATGCTATTGTAAAATACCAAAGCAGATTGGAAGACACGGAACCTACTATGACCCTCCAAAGGCCTAACTTCCTCACTTATTTAAAAGCATTGTTCTACTTTAAAGATAAGGAGATGTTTGCCTGAAAGTTGTGACCCTTCTAAGACAAAATTTTCCTCAGAGTTTTCTCATAGTGAAGCCAAGCCACTTCTCTACAAACTGCTCCCACCAATGCCATCCAGCCAATATCCATGGGGCTGAAGGATATAGGAGAGTAGAATCATGAAAAATAACCCTGCCCAGAACAAGGAAGACCAAAGGTCCTTCACTCACGATAGGTTTCTCACTCAGGAAATGCCTGAGTAAATAAATGGGCTGTGCAGTGTGCCTTTTTGAAACAACAGAATCATATTCCTTGTACTCAGAGCAAAATCAAGAGCTTACCACTGATAATCACCTGCCAACAGCCACCCATATGGTGTTGTGAGGGCTATAGGTTCATAGCCCTTCTGCTGGTGTTAAGCTCAAACGTAACTGAAAATGAAACAGGGAACAGACAGAACTGAGATAATTTAAACAAGATACTCCTCTGTGAGAGCTTGATGACTAAGAAATGACATGAGGGCAACACATTCTAATTGTTCATGGAGATTCTAACGTCACAGACACATCATAAACTTGAAAAGATGATCAGTTGGATAGGTCAGTCCCACGACAGCATGTACTCAGGAAAGATGCAGTGAGATTTGTTGGTAGGTCAGTAATGCTGTGTGTTTAAAGATATGTTAGAGTTTGTTTTACCAGATAAGCCCATCAATGGACAATCCAGTCCTCACATGGGTGGAAGTGCCAAACAAAAGAAGGAAGTTAATACTGACTTTGTATTACATTTGTCTATCTGACCAGCGGGCCATGCTGGCAACAGAGGGCTGTGTAAAAGGAGAAAGTTAGAATAATGTGAGTCATCTGTAGATGACTCTGTTTAGAAAGGGCAATAATTACATCCAGTCATGACAGAGAATAGACTTTTAGATGTCTCAGTAGTTGTTTTGTGGAACAGCTGGTTTGGGAGTCCATTGAAGGCTACCTTTGAGAAGAAATACTGCTGAGAAAGTTAAAATGGAGTACTGTGATTCAGTCTAGAGAAGAGAAAACTGAGAAGAGATAGAAGTGGCCAAATGAGCTGCTGCAGGGAGGCCAGCGATAGCCCAAGTCCCAGAGGGGAGAATGCAGAAGGCTTAAGCAGCAAGAAAGATTACCATTAGGTGTCTTGAGATTTTTCCTGCTAGGAGGGACACGGAAGACCTGAAACAGATTGCACAGAGATCTTGAATCTCCATTATGAAAGACACTTGAACACGGATCAGGGACCCATACATCAGGAATATCAGCAGTTTAGTTGATCACACTTTGGGGCAGAGGGCTGACTGGCAGAGCTCTAGAGGTTTCTCAAAGTCTTACCTCCTATGGATCTAAGGTTTATTTCTGTATGATCTAATCCTTGTCTCATGTCTTTGAGGAAGTTATGCCAGCCTTATAAAGAGATCACAGCGTGTGGCAGTTAACAGCCATGTTGAAACAAATGGGAATGATTCAGTTTTACATGTGAAACAAAAAATTAGTCCAGTTTTGGAAAGGAAAACCTGACTCTTGCAACATGGGGAGAGGCAAATCTTTCAAAACAAGAGATGTGCTAGAAAGTACTAGCTAGATTAGTAAGGGTGTGAAGGAAATGGATAAAGGAGTGAAAAAACAATATAAAGAGATTAGCTCTCCAGTAAAGAGCCAATATGACTGTAAAAGCATTAAAACCCCTGCAGGAGATATACTGAAGACTCTGCCCTGGATTAGAATTTGATATAAAATAACTGAAGTCATACAGTTTCTATGCCATTTGTAGCTGAGTTAATAGCATATGTTCCTGGAGGATTACAGTCAATGATTAAGGAAATTAGGTTTTGTTTGAATTTAATTTAGTTGTATAAAGCTGCTACAATAATTTACAGCTTTGATATTTAATATTTAATAACACACATCTTAAAAGAATCCAAGATATAGAAGTGCCATTATATATTGAAATATTATCCCCATAAGTCATTCATATTTACTAGCTGATAAGAATGTTCATCAACTAGATGAGCTCAACAGGAGCTACTTGATAAAAAAAAAAACTGCAGCTTGATAGATGGTGGCGGGGAAATCTTTCTGTATCTTTCTCTATCTGTTATTGTGGTACAGAAATCATAATACATTTACAAAGAACTTTGCACTCTCAGTTATAAGAATCAAAAGGATGCACCTCTGATGGCTTTCTTTCATTGAATTTTCAAATTTATGGCTTCATGAACACTATACACTCTTTTTTAGTCTTACAAGTGTTTTCCTTGCCTCCATTGCTTTTTTTTTTTTTTTTTTTTTTTCCCTTTAAGGAATATTTTCCTCACTCCAATTTAGCAAGCCATCCTGTCTCTGTTCAGAGGAAAAGAGGCATGTGAAAGAACATCCTAGACTGAAAATCCAGTCTTTTAGAAAGAAAGGTGAAAGTACTTATTACATGGGCATGGGTCTATGATGAATACTCTGTCCCCAGCCACAGCGTCAGGTGGTGCATGCTGGCAGAGCTCCATGGAATCAAAGCTCATCAGCCCCAAAGTATGGCACAGAGAGATTCATTTTTCCCCTTTTTAAAACTAAGGGAAAGATATGAGTAGTTTACAGCTGTTCACAGCTGATATATCTTTTCTGTTGGTTTTATGGTTTGGAAAAAAGCACTCTGGAAGGACTCTATTTTTCCCTAAAGGACTAAAAGAAAAGAAAGTTTCATTGATTTTATTAGGATTTGAAATTCTTTGCATGGTTTGGATTTTATTTCTGAGAACTCAAAGGAGTTCTGCAGCAGTGCATATTTCAAAGAAGAATAGAAGCAACCCTTTTCTGCAGGAACTATTTCATCCATGGTTGAAATTACAAACACAGAAAAACTATGGTATTTGTCCTTGATAAAGAGGAACATTTTCCAACAATTTTGTTTGGCTAGGAATCCTTTGAATGATCTTTTTAATCATTCTCTGTTGTGCTTTCTAGTATATGAATCGTGATGATTCAGGATGAATAAAATGGTGGCAGGGCAGATGTTCCTGGTGAAGATATTGCTAGTGAAAATACCAGCTCCTTTCCCAGATGGAACATTAGGCACAAAGACAGAATATCTTAGGTTTGTAAGACAGCCAGCCAAGATAAGTTTGTAAGAAAAAAACTAATGAGACTGCTTTTATTTACACTATTTACACTCTTCTTGGTATGTTACAAGCAAGTCCTTTGTCCCCATGGTGAAGCTCCCAGGATAGTTATACAAGTGATTATTATGGCATAAAATTGGAGCTAACAGGTATGAGATCAAGTGCATAGACCCAGTGTCTCAGTGCAGTTTGACTGCTCTGGGCATGGTTTCTTACTAATTGCAGTCATATGCCTCTGATCAACTCATACCATAAGCAAAAAAGTTTGCAACAGTTGGCAAAATATCAAATATGTAAACATCACTGTAATGTTAGTGCTGGATGAATCAGTTCTGATGGAAAGAAGCCTCTTACAAAGTCAGGCTTCATCTCGCTGAGGGAGTTATGGTAGAACATTGCACATCTGTGCTTAAGAAATAGCGTCATTGATGATCTTTTTTGGTATTTTCCATGGTATGAAGGTTGTGTGTAGGCCTTTACCATTGGCAGTTGGAACAGTTAAACACTGGTACTTGGCTATGGTCATAATGAACTATTTTCCTCCCTGAGAATATTGGGGTTTGATGATGATCTGCATGTGTGTGTATGTATATATCAGAGTATGTATATGTACCTGTGTGTACATTTAGTATGTATATATGTAGTCTACCCCTTAATATTTGCATAGTGTTTGATAAATAGTACTGAAGCTGCCTACATAATTCCTTCATATTTCTGTAAGCTTGTTTGTTCAGATTTTTTTTTGTTCTCCATGTTGAAAAGAACTGGAAGTCTGGACTGTACTGCAAAATGCAAGTTGGCAGACTGGGGATTTATTGCATGAATGCAAACAAGAGGAGGGGAACATATAAAGGATACAACTCTCGCGTCCACAAAAAAAAAAAAAGAAAAAAAAAAAAAGAAAAAAAAAATACCTCAGTTGCAATCTGCTAATCAGATTCACCATCACTGCAGCAAAAATGAAATGACACTGGTCTTTCTCTT